TACTATAAAAAGCATCAAACATCAAATACTGTAACATTTACAGAAACACATATATGCAAAGTTCAAATATCAAACAAAACAGAATAATATCAAATATCATATACTATTCCCATTTAATGAAACAAAGGTATGTTAAAAAAAAATAATTGACATCTCACCATATCCAACCCTAATGAATCAAGAGAACAATAGATTAAATTAAACAATCACATCTTTATTTTAGGGAGGGGAAGAAAATGACGATATTCAATAGAGCCTTATAGACCTTCCTATTAGACCTTCCCATTAGCTACTTTAGATTTTGTTTGAGAGTACACAGTATTCACCGCTGTAAAGCTTTATGAATTGGATTTTATTAACTGCCGTGTATCCTTTCAAAGTAGCAGTTACTTTTATTAATTGTTGCAATAGTCGTGAATCCTTTAAATTGCAACTGTAGCAGCCGTTTTTGGAAGAACACGAAATTTGGTATATGATTGGGCATAACATTACGGTGGCTTTCTGGTACTGCTTAGAAAATAAATATTTTTCTAACTCATTAAGTAAATTCATTTTGTCCTTATACCAAAAAGAAAAATCCTTCTACTCTTAAAGACTTGCGCCATATTGCTTTATATAATTTTCTATATAAAATCATTACCAAAGTTCTTTATAATAGGCTGAAGTCTTTGTAGTCAAGAATTACCTCGCCAGCTCAGTAAGCTTTTGTGCCTAGACGGTCGATTACTAATAATGTGTTAATACCTTCTGAAGTAATTCATTACATAGATGAATTATGATGTGTGTGACTTCTGTGAGTTATTATTAGTGGGGCTTATTAGGTCAAGCAGTTAATTTTGATATGTCTAGAGTTTTTTCAGCACTAATGTAGCGGAAGATGCACAACTTACTTTATCTACTGAATTAGGGGTTTATAACCCATTGATCTTACAGTTATTTAAGCTTATCTTCATTAATTGGCGAAAATAATACTCAAATTTTTACTTTTCTAAAGACAAGGTGAGGAATAAGCTTTTTGGCTAGGGTAAGAAATTTTTATCTAGAGCAGGGAAGTAAGTTTTAATTAAGTTAGTGGCTCAAGCTATCCCTTCACACTGTATGCAAGGGCGAAGTTATGTGCGGGAATGTTAACTAAACACCTTTCGTCGAAAAATTATATTATGTATAGAAAAACATATTACTTGCTATTGATAAAAAAAAAATAGACTTTAAACATCCTTGCATAGCCCGTCGAAAAAAGATATTCAAAATTTGAACACGCTTGTTGAATTTTAATAGCTTTGACACTGACTATATAGTTGTGTTCCTTATTTTGCATTCTTTATGTGTTGACATGGAGAAACTGATGAACTCATTCGGGAAGGTTCAAAGATTAAGGAGGGCAAAATATATAAGTTGTCATCTGACCTATGGTCCAAATCTCTGTTACACATTTTTTGGGAATAAATATTACTTTACATATCCAACCTTTCCAAAGTGTATCTAAGAGCCCGTTTAGACATAAGAAATTTTTCCATTTTTTTCAAAAAAAATTCAATTTTTTTCGAAATTAGCGTTTGTTCATAAAATTTTCAATTTTCACTTGAAGATGCATTTTGAAAATTTTCGAAAATTTAAAAAACTCCAAAAATCCGTTTTTCAATATTTTCACTCAAATTACTCACAAAACTTCAAAAACAACCCAAAATTATATTCATGTCCAAACACAACTCTAAATTTCAAATACAATTTTCACTTGAAAAACAATTTCCCCCTATTTTGAAATTTTACAATTCTTATGTCCAAATGCCCACTAAAACACACTACTTTTTTCTTAATTAGTTTTTCAGAATATGTGTAATGTCATGCAACCAATAAAGTCATGACACGTGTTAAAAAAAATTTAAACAATAAAATACTTAAATTTATAATTATACACATAGCACCTTCTTTCGTCTCTTTCTCTTTTGCAAGGTGTACAACCAGTGCTACAACAATGGCAGCCACCATAAATAAGAAGCTACCACAACAATGGCAGCCACCATAAGATTCCTCCATCTACGCCCCAAAACCAAATCCACTTTCCCTCGTTTCTTCTCTTCTTCATCAAATCTTGAACCCCCTCATGTCCCAACCACCCCTTCAGAACCACTCCACCACCAATAATAAACACAATCTCTACCCCCTGAACCCTTCTCGTTTTCCTCCATCGCCAACTAAAATCTTTCCTCCATGTTTAACATATCATAATAGTAACGAATCTTGAAGATGAAGGAAATAGAACTGAAGAATTGTATAATTTCAGCCATTTTCAAGAAATATAATTCTTTTTTCGATTTATGTAAAATGGGTCTTAATGGTAGAAAAAGAACCAAAAGAATTTTTATAGCCACTCTTAAAGAAAATTTACAAGTTATTTGATTAATTCTTTATGATGAGTTTAATAGATTAGTAAATTACATGTTAAGAAGATGAAAAAAGGGGAAGGTATTGGGAGAAAACAAAGAGGAAAACGAGGAGAGGGGGTATGTCACGAGGAAGAAGAAGAGAGGGAGAGGGTGGGGTTATGAGGACCCACTAATTAAAAAAAAAAGAAAATATATAAAATTTTGACACGTGAAATTTAAACATATTTGGGAATGCTTTTTCAAAGGTTCACACTCTTATCTCTGTTGTTACCAAGCACGCGCGTGCCACTTAGCAAAAGTGATGTGTCTTAGATACACTTTAAAAAGGTTGAGTGTGTAAAGTAATATTCGTTCCCAAAAAGTATATAACAGAAATTTAGGCCATAGGTCATGTGACTACTTATGTATTTTGCCATTAAAGAGCAAATAAAGATGCATTGGCTTTCATGGCGACGCCTTTGTGAACAAAGATATTGAAGGTACGAGTTTTTGTAACAGTATTATCTTAATACTGCTATGTTTGGGAGTAGGGTTCGAGATTTCTCACTGAACATGAATTGAATTGATATACAATAGTGATTCTATTGATGATGAAGAAAGATATTCTTGGTTCAGTTCTCCACTTAAATAATAGAAAATAGGATTGATCAATTTTATTGAGTCTTGACTCATAGTGATTATTTATCAAAGAGTGATTCTGGTTATCAAATGATTAAACAATCGAAAGCAATTTACTTATGATACTTAGTTGACATTTATAAAAAGTATCTAATGAATTATATATTCAGTGCCTCATGTTTAGTAGAATGACGGATATTCCTTCCTCATCTTCAAAACTAAATATTTTCAATCATAGACTTTTTTATCGGTTAAATTAGGCCACAATTCTAATTATGTATGAAAGAGCATATTGCATTCTAAGGAGCTATTACAAAATGGTATTAGGTGAAGAGTAGAAAATAGCGAAAAAATTAGTATGGGCAACGACCCTTGGCTACTTTCAAAGAATAATTTTTTTCTCAAAAGTCATTTATCCGTGGAATCTCAAGACATGTGAGTTAAAGATCTATTTTGTGAAGATACCAGAAGGTGGGATAAAAATATAATTTCTCTATCTTCAAAGCAAAAATAATTTGTATTATTTCAATTAGTGTAGGGATAGCCGTAGGGGCGGACGCACATTCAATGAAGCGATGTCACGCGATACCGTTTCATCGGAAAATTTTACTAAATATATATATTAATATTGTGAGTAACGAATAAGTAGAAAAAAATGACACTACTTGACACGAATTATCTCCTGACGCATTGGTTATGTGCTTGATTTTGCTCTAAGAGGTTGGAGTTTCAAACCTCAACTAGCATTTTTTTTTTTCCAAATATTTGAGAGAATCTCTATGATTAAAAAATTGTGATTAAATAGAATTGAACTGACCTTTTTTAACTTAAGACTCAACAAAACCAAAGAACTGCTAAGGGTTAATATATTATAAAATCTTATAATACATTAATTGCGAGGAACTGGACTAATCGTCAAGAATTTGATTGTAATATAGGTTTGCCATCAAATTTTACACCAATTCTCTTGCATATAAAGTAAGGATGTCAAATTTATCCTATAAAAATATAACTCGATCGATTTGTTCAAGTTTAAGCGAGTTGGACTGGTCATATATGGCGACTCAAATTAACACATCTAATCTTTTTGTCAATTTGGATTACATATTCTGTCCAAAATGACTATGGGACAAGAAAATTTGGGATGGTTTGTTAGACACAACTACGATTAAAACATGCATTATTTTAGTTTGATTTGATAATTAAATAAATTATTAAGAACAAATAAATAAACGAATCAACAACAATTTTGAGTTAGGGGAGCTTGATTATGAACCTTTATTTAGCTTAGATTATCCAACACATCGAATCTTTGGACAAATTATGACTCAACTCTCTTATTGTTACAATCAGTTTTAATCTGTCGAATTTAACTCGACTTGTTAATGCAAATTGAATTGTTCAAATGTTTTAACAGGAAAACCAATTTTAACGGTAAAGTAGGTAACATCGTGAAGGGTTTAATATTTCAGAAGTCTAAGTATTTATGTTTACAAGAGTAAACAATAAAAGCGCCCATGGCCTAATGGATAAGGCGCTTGACTTCTAATCAAGCGATTGTGGGTTCGAGTCCCACTGGGCGTGTGCTCTTTTTTTAATAATACTATAATCCAAGTGCTGGCTTTTAACAAAAGGAATTTAAAATTTATATATTAACTTACGGTGTAAGCAAGTAAGATACTCTCACCCAATTAGTACCAAGCTCGATATACTATTTATGTAAATAAGAATCCCCTTCATTATATAATTTCTTTATACAAATAGATATAAAATTGATGGGGCAATTTTACAAGTATATTTTGTACTATAACCCTTCCTATCCCAAATATGTCTATAAAGAGCAGATAATAATTGTATTAGTGTTTATAATTGATGACTTTTGTGTAATATTAATTGTTAGATTCTCGTTCTCTATGAAATATACATTTCGGTTCCATTGCCAAGAACTAAAGTAGCTAGTTGAGGAACGAAAGAAATAATGGTAGGAAATAAACAAAAACGAAAAGAGAGAAACTGACGTTTATTCACTTCTTAAATATCCAAGGGATCTTATACATTCCACTTGGAAAAAGAAAAAGAAAAAAAAAAGGAAAATGGTGTACATGTTATTGGAAGATCCTTTTCTGAACAAACTATACTCCACTATAAAAAATCTTTCAAAAATGCTATTCTTTCTTTTGCTGATCACTGCAATTCCCCAACAGGTGCTTCATTCAGCCAGAGGAAATGGATGAAATCATACAACTTTGCGCTCACACTAACCTGCTCAGTAATTCAACCAAAACCAACAAATTTTTTTGCAAAAGAATGCTTCAGCCAGGGGGCATATGGAGTATATAATCAATCTGTTTAACTGAACCCCACATTTTCGACATGGAGCATACACACACAAAATTATATACTATACAAACATATACGTGTGTGTGAGAGAGAAATCCTTAAATTTTGAACCCATAATTTCAAAAATGTGATGAGATCAATGGTAAGAACATTAAAGGTTGAATCCATCAAAATTACAAGTTGTACAAGAATTTGAATATTGTATTTCTCATCAGCAATACCTTGTATGGTGTTGGGTTCAGCTTTCTCATGTGATCCGGTCGCATTTGCTCCAGTTGTTTAATACACCGTTCCCTGATCTCCCTCAAGGGAGGTAGGTCTTCTCGTGTTTTATCTTCAGAAATGATAAAAACAACATCAATTTTTCCATATTGAATAAATTTTTATAAGAGCAGTTGATTTGGAGGCATGGCTCTTCGGACCATTTTCACCATTGAGAAAACTGAAGTATACTTTTTGTAAACTTTAAAACTAGAACGGTAAAGAGTGCTATGAGTCCAAATCCTAGCAGAGAAAAAAAAACATTAGGGGATTTTTTTCTCATATGCCTAAGTCTTGATGAGTAGAGTTACCTAGTACTTGTACTAGTGGGAGGTAGCAACTATTCAGTAGAATAGTCGAGGTGTTCGGAAGTTGGTCTAGACACCACCAGAAAATAAAAGAATAGCACAAATATTTTAAGAATTTGACACAAGTACCATTACATGCAGCAGAATTGCCAGCAAATGCTACAGAAATTTAATATTTCAACAACAGTTTTTCCCCTTTTTTATTGTGGAAATGAGACAAGGAAAAAAGTATACAGTCTTCTTTTTGGTGGCATAGCAATAACTTGCAAAACTAACAACATGTAACTCATTAACACAGCATCCAATGTATTTTGAAATTGACAACTGTAGGGTCACATTTTTTCTCAGAAAATTTTCCAGCTTAAAAGTTACTATAACTCTAGAGAAAACAAGTCTCACCTGAACTTCCAGGCCAAAAACACTTTAAAAGCTCCTCAACACGCTGGGGTACAACATATGCCCTTTTAGATTCACTAAATGGATGACGGCACAAAATTCGTTCACCTACCTGTCAATATTTCTTTCTTTGTTAACCATTGTATACACCAGATAAATCTTAAGGACCGCATTGAAAAAATAAATAAAAATAAAGTACCTTGGGAAGTGGTTCATTTTCACCGGCCATTATGTCGACAAGGGGGTAGCCTTCCTTTCCATACAATCTGAAACATCGCTTTTTACATGGAATAGAGACCTAGAAAGGAAATAGAATGAACCTCCATATTCATGGAATAGAGAGGAAATAGAATGAAATCCATATTGGATCTCAAATGCCTACAGAGTGTAGCATAGCTTCAGCAAACCTTTGTAACATCTTCAGAAAGTTTGATCCTTGGTTGATTATTTATCTCAACCAACTTGAAAACAACACCTAGAGCGGGCTGTGCGTAACAGGTAACCAAATGTGTTCCAATACCAAAAGAATCAACCTCGTGCCCCTGTTTAGGAAGTAAGTCAAATTATCTTCCTTTAATCAAGGCAAAATCGGAAGGCAGTGCATATAAATGCATGAATTCAAGCTATAGCTCAAGAATTAAAGGTTATAAAAATGAAAAGGTGTCCAGTTGGGAGTTTGTACTCGTGCCTCAGAATTTTTAAAACAATGAACATACACTAGGAGGTAATGCAAAAAGAAATAGAAGATTTTATTAGCATATTTTACCGATATATTCTTGCATCATTTTTCCCCGGTCGACTCTTAAGTGCTAATCATGTAAGCGAAACTAAAATGGACGTGAACCGCCATATCTTTAATTACTTAACAGTGTGTATGTTACTTAATACTAGGGATGGCAATGAGGAGGTGCGGGTGCGGGGCGGGGCGAGTTTGAACGTTAGCGGGGCGGGGNGTAGGTTTGGGAGTTTGCGGTTGCGGGGCGGGTTCAATTTTTAAATAAAGAAATAACGCGGAGCGGGGCGGGGCGCGGATGGGGATTTAATTTTTTGAACTAACAAAAATAAAAGGCTAAATATTAAAACACTAGTCCCAATTTCACTCAGACTTAAAACGGGTCATCTCTCTCAGACGCAGAGACGCTCCTTAGTCCTCTCGCAGTCTATATGGAGCAGCTTCTTAGTGAATAGGTACTCGTCCCTCGTCCACACCGAATTTCTAGACCCAATTCGACGCCCCCACTGAATTTCTCCTAGTCCGCATCGTAGTAGACTTCATCCTACTACTTTGGAGGCTTTAATGTGTGCTCGCACTTGGTTATGGAACGAAATAAATGGTAAGTGATTTTTTCAATGACTTGTAATATTAATAGTGATTTTCAATTTTTAATTCTATATATGTTTCTTTTTAAGTTTGGCTTCAACGGTCGACAAAGTTTCATGTCCAACATTACTTGACGAAGAGGAAGAGCCGGATTCAAGTTGGCTTACTGGTCGATAGAAGAGGAAGAGAATGTCATTTGTTGATACAATTTCTTTTTGATTCAAGTTGGCTTACTGTAGTTTGTTGATACAATTTCTTGTGGTTTTGTAATTTGAATTTGATAGATTTTGTTGAGTATAGACCTTGCTGTCTTGCTGAGCAGTTCAGATTTTGTGGCTTACTGTAGTTTGTTGATGCAATGGTTTATGATCATTGCAATGGAAAGGGGCAATGGATGATCTGAAATATCTGAATCAGTTGAACTCAATAAAGCTACTGCTCCTATGCCTTTTGAGATGTGTTTTTGCTTCAACACTGGATTCAAAATTGAGGATCAGCCTTGTTGGTTCTGGCAATATTAAGTTTTCAAGTTCAACCTCTAGTGTTCCAACGCATTTGCTATATTTCCTTTGTAGCTTAATTGACACAATATTAATCAATAATATGTTTGTATATAGGATTCCTACTCCAGTAGTTAACTAACTGAGGTGTCTTTATTACTACTCAGCTTGTTTCAAAAATATAATGTTGTGATTGGCCTATTCTCTTTAGTTCAAAAACAAATGGTACTATTGCCTTTTTTCCTTCTTTTCAGCTTAATCACGATGAATGCTACAGAATCCAAGTGAATCAGTTTGTTTCTACTGTTAATCTTTTAATGTTAGGATCCTTTGGCCTTATTTGGAAAAGTAAAATCAATGATGAGTCATTTTCTAGGATATGTACAAAGTAAAATAAGAGCATGTGCATTTTCCTTCTAGTGGAAGTAAGGAAAGAAAGGGGTTTTGAATATAAAAATTGTGGGACTCAATAAAACCCCTTTTGTAATGCAAATTGTTCTATAGGGAAAACCACTGGATTTAGAGGCAAAAGATGGGAATTTAAGAACAATTTGGATATAATTAATTGTTTTGTTAAAAAAATCAGATTTAAGTCTAGC